GGGGGAAAGCAAATCCTGGCCTGAGGCCACAACCCACTACAGAGCTAGAGAGGGGTGTGTGTTGGGGCAGAGGAACTGCGTTTCGATCCTATTTTATTTCTGTGCCCAGGTTACATTGAAGTGCCTGTGTTTATTTTCATGCCTAACCTGCATATAGTTAAATAAATCTTCCTTTTTGAGTTTAAAAAAGCCTGGTGTGCCTTAACCACATAGTCCTCCCCGCTCTGCACATTACCAGGGGCAAAGGAAGGCCAGGGAACACAAACAGGCCCGAATCTGAGGGGTTGCCAACTCTCCAGGGGGCGCCCAAAGATCAAGGTACCCGCTTCCCAAGGCGGGGAAATCAGCCAGAGGGGTCTCACTGTCCCTCTACGAAGGCAGTGTCCATTCAGTGAGTGGTGGCAGCGTTTAATGGAGACAAATAGCCCCACCAGGTAGGGTGGGAGGCCAAACCAGGGGCTTGCGACCCACAGGACGACAACTCAGTCTCCCAGGGCTGAGGGCGGGTCCCCGTTTCGCCACAGAAGTCATCACCCCCACCTGCCGGCTTGTTCTCAAAATGGTTGCTTCGGCTGGCAAAAGTGATTAACTTGCAGCAGCTGAGAACTGTCATCTAAAGTGGTTGACAGCTCGCAATTTAGAGATCTATCCGGGTAACAGCTTTCTCTTGGCGACATGGCTTTTCTTTCTGCACTGAGAACTTCAGCTCCACCAGAAAAAAAAATTCCCCACAGGCCACAAAATCCTGGCTACGGGCCTGTTTATACCCAGAAGAAAACTTTGTGGGCTGCTCTTTTTCTCGGCAGATGGGGTACTTAACAGCTGCTTGGGGAAGCGGCAGGCTGCTTCCATTTATCCTCTGAGGGCGAAGAACCCCAGGGGAGCAGCACCACCTTACTGAAATACGCTGGTGAGACCAGGCTCTTAACATCGTGCCCTGGGAAACCTCCCTCCCGTCCCCGTCTTTTAAAATTTTGCCACAGTTTTCCATTTTGTTGCGAATATTACTCTACCTGCAGTAAGCATGTATTTAAATAAGTCTTGTGAGATTTTTTCAACGTTGTCCGGTATTATTCCCAATAACACAGTCTCGGATTTCAAAGGACATTTAGAAATCTATCCTGGTAACAGCTTTCTATTGGCTAAATGGGTTTTATTTCTGTACTGAGAACTTCAGCCCCACCAGAAAAAAAATTGCCCCACAAGCCACTTTGGGGTCAGGAAGCAATTTTTATTCAGGCCAGTTTTGCCAGGGATCCTGGAGGATTTTCCCCATCTTCCGGGCAGGGAACACGGGTCACCGGGGGTCTTTGTGAGGGGAGATATTTGTGAATTTTCTGCATTGTTCAGGGGGTTGGACTAGATGGCCATGGAGGTCCCATCCAACTGTGTGATTCTATGATTCTTTGATTGTTGGCTAGGATTTGATTTCTCATTGTGAATTTATTATATCATTATACTTTATAAAGTCATTTTTCCCTTTCATGTCTATCATAATATGCATCTATTGGTGACATTACAGGTGACTTTTTAAAATATTTTTTATTTTCAAGACAAACATAAAATGGGTACATTAATACATATAATTTTTCCCTCTATTAACCTACCTCATACATAATCTAAAACTATGTCAGTTTTCCACCTTATGTATATAATATTTTGCAAGAATATAGGTGTATAAATCTTATTTTCTACTAATTTAACCTTTGTCTAAGCATTTTAATATAGTCTTCCATTAGCTATACATGGTTATATGGTTCTTATTTTCTTCTGGTTAGATTATCTAAACATCTCTCTCAATCTCTCTCTTTAAATTCATTTTTAGTCCATCTTTAGGATCTTACTCCATTATAAGCCTCTAGATTTCTCTCAAGAGATGTAGCTTTTCAGTCCTTCTTCTTTTCCTTGATTTCTCTTTTTAAATTTTAGAGTTTTAATTTTGTGTCTTTTTTCTTTATAGGTGTAGAAGTTGTTTTCTGGGAGTAGCCATCTGTAGTCAATTCTTGAAGTGGTTTGAAATTCCATAAATTGTTTTTCTCTCTCTCTCTCTCTCTGAGTCAGTGTATAAGTTGATATTTTGAGAGCCTCATCAATATTAGTGTCTTTATTGAGTCTCAGGTGTACTTCTGCAGAAGTTTCATCTCTCTTTGGAAGTGCTGGTTTCATTTTGTAGACCTCAGTTAGATTATAGGCTTCTTCTATAACTTCTGTATAGAAATATCCTTGCTTCTCTCACTTCCATTGTGGCTGGTCTTCTTCCATCTTGCTCGTGTTTGTTATTGCAATAAGTCCATTTTGTCTTGCTTAGAAGCAAAAAGTTCTTTCACTGCTGTTTTTACAGCAGCAATAATTGAGTTTTGGATTAAAATCCAGAGGTCTTGAAATGAAAACACATCTTCTGTGCATATGTGCATATTACAACCATATGCTAGTACCAAGGAATCTCAAAGTTATTTTTCTGCAAGATTTTACAATTCAAACCACCAGTAATATTTACAAAGCATAGCTGTTTTAGACATATTAGAAATTGCTTACATTACAGAACAGGATAAGCAGAACAAAATGTACTTTATAGTTCAGCAAACATAAACGTAAGACGTTATGGGAATATGATGTATAAAAAGTTCAGGATAAGAGCCAGTTCTCCTTAGGTACAAAAAATCAAAGGCATAGATATAGAATGGGAGGGACTTGGCTTGACAGCAGCACATGTGAAAGGGATCTAGGTGTTCTGGTTGATCACAAGCTAAACATGAGCCCGCAGTGCGATGTGACTGCAAAGAAAGCTAATTCAATCTTAGGATGCATAAACATAAGCATTGTGTCCAGATCACGAGAGGTGGTCATTCCGCTCTTTTCTGCTATGGTCAGGCCCCACCTGGAGTCCTGTGTCCAGTTTTGGGCACCACATTTTAGGAAGGATGTTGGCAAGCTCGAGCGTGTCCAGAAGAGGGAAACCAGGATGGTGAGAGGGTTGGAAGCCAAGTCTTATGAGGAAAGGCTGAAAGAGTTGGGTATGTTTAGCCTGGGAAAGAGAAGGCTTGCAGTCTTTAAGTATTTGAAGGGCTGTCATGTAGAAGATGGAGCAATCTATTCTCTCTTGCTCCGGATTGCAAGACTAGATCTAATGGGCGGAAATTACAAGGGAGTTGTTACCGGCTAAATATCAGGAGTGACTTCCTAACTGTAAGAGTGGTTGAGCAGTGGAACAGTCTGCCTCAGGAGGTGATGGATGCTCCTTCGCTGGACGTTTTCAAGCGGAGGCTGGACGACCATCTTTCGGGTATGTTGTAGGTATGTAGGGCTATCTTTCAGTATACTCCTGCAGAGTGCAGGGGGTTGGACTAGATGACCTGCAAGGAACCCTTCCAACTCTAACGTTCTATGATTCTATGATTCTTCCTTTGAGAAATATTCCAGTTATTAAAATATAATGGCTTATATTCCTTATTACAATGAAGATAAATCTTTATAGAGTCTTGCTATGGTTCCAAATTCTTTACTTAGAACTCCAGACAAAAGAAAGAGAAAAGGGGACTATATATTCCTAGATCACTGAAGTCCAAAAGCAGCTAGAGCCAATTCTTCTCCAATTTTTAATTCCATAATGAAAAATATTGCAGTCTCAGACAAAAGCCTTCTCTTTGCTTTTTTGCCCGGGAAGCCATTTACAGATCACATCAACTTCTTTTCATAGCCACTGCAGGAGGAAGAGGGGTGGGACCGGAAAGATTTCTTCACCCCTCCGTTCCTTTCTCTTTTTTAAACTTTGAAGGGGCTTTATCATTAAGTAATTAGATTTTCTGTTGTTGTTGCTTTTAAGCATATTCACGGTGTTGTTCTTCATCAATGTTATGGATGAGGTTCCAATTTCTTCCCCTCCGGGGGTAGTCACAACTAAGCACCCATGTCTAACATGGGTGCACTTGATCAGCTCCTGCGTTGGGGCGCACTCAGACTTCCACCTGCTTGCTGTCGCACGTGAGGGACTCGAGTCAAGCCTCTTGCAATGAGCTCCTCTTTGGGAAGCTCACTGGAACTCAGGATCCCCCAAACCCCTCTAAAAGAGCTGCAGATCCAGCCGTCACACGGGAGCTCTCCCCGGTGCGATTGTTCTCGTTGCGCCAAAGCCCCGCCTCACTCTCAGGTGACATTTTTAACAAGCTTGTTTCTTAATCCAAACATAACTTTGCAATCTGTCATCCAGACCCACTGCTTCTAGTTTATTAATCAATCATTTGGATTTTTGATCCGATCTGCAATCCAAAACAGCTGCTTCTTGGAATAGCTTAATGTTAGGTACTGCTAAGCCTCCTCCTATATTGATCAGTATAATCTGAAACAGAACATTTATTTTGGCAATACATTCATTTTTACTGCAGATATTCCTCCCAGCCATTATCATTTTACTTTGGTCCCTCTTTCCAAATCTTTCTATATCTTTGTCCAAACGCACGTGGGTTTGATTGAGGCTTTTGCTCCATTACTGGAGCTATTCAGTTTTATCTGTTGGAGTCTGAAACCTGGAAAGGTGAGGCATGCTATCTGCCTCTCTAATGGGTTGCTGTGTTAGTCTGTAGGAGCAAAATTCAAGTGCGGTAGCGCTTTCAAGACCATCCAAATTTTCCAGGGTTTAAGCTCTCATGAATTAAAGCTCACTTTCTCAGAGAGGAATGAGATAGAAGACTCATCGGCAAATCTCTCCAGCTCAGAAGGCGGGAAGGGGGTTCCCCAAAAAGGGCCATGTAGAGTCAGCATGCAGAGGTGTCACGAGGTCTGATAGATCTTCGTTCTCATTTCTGCCTGACCAAATGAGCTTTGACCTGTGAAAGCTTCTACCCTGGGAAATTTCCTTGGACTTTCAGATGCTACCTCTCCACCGTTCCATTTCCTTTGGGAAGTCCTTCTGCCTTATTAAGTTGGCAAGAATGGAGCTAGGTCTGCTTTGAAGCAAACAGGGGCCAGTGGTCTTCATTCACCCTGCCAGGACCTGGCCCTGATCATTTAAAAGGTTTCTCCCCTGTGTGGGTTCTTTGATGCTTTTGAAGACTGGAATTATGCCTCAATCTCTTTCCACACTCTGAGCATTCAAAAGGCTTCTCCCCTGTGTGGGTTCTTTGATGAATTTTAAGACCACTACTCCTACTGAATCTCTTTTCACACTCTGAGCATTCAAAAGGCTTCTCCCCTGTGTGGGTTCTTTGATGAATTTTAAGACCACTACTCCTATGGAATCTCTTTTCACACTCTGAGCATTCAAAAGGTTTCTCTCCCGTGTGGGTTCTTTGGTGAAGTTGAAGACTGGAATTCTGTCTGAATCTCTTCCCACACTCTGAGCATTCAAAACGTTTCTCCCCTGTGTGGGTTCTTTGATGCCTTTGAAGATTAGAACTCGTACTGAATCTCTTTCCACACTCTGAGCATTCAAAAGATTTTTCCCCTGTGTGGGTTCTTTGATGGCTCTGAAGACTGGAAGTCTGACTGAATCTCTTTCCACACTCTGAACATTCAAAAGGTTTCTCCCCTGTGTGGGTTCTTTGATGCTTTTGAAGACTGGAAGTCTGACTGAATCTCTTTCCACACTCTGAGCATTCAAAAGGTTTCTCGCCTGTGTGGGTTTTTTGGTGTAGTTGAAGACTGAAAATCCAACTGAATCTCTTTCCACACTCTGAGCATTCAAAAGGTTTCTCCCCTGTGTGGGTTCTTTGGTGCACTTGAAGACCGGAACTCCGAATGAATCTCTTTCCACACTCTGAGCATTCAAAAGGTTTCTCCCCTGTGTGGGTTCTTTGGTGCACTTGAAGACCGGAACTCCGAATGAATCTCTTTCCACACTCTGAGCATTCAAAAGGTTTCTCCCCTGTGTGGGTTCTTTGGTGCACTTGAAGACCAGAACTCTGACTGAATCTCTTTCCACACTCTGAGCATTCGAAAGGTTTCTCCCCTGTGTGGGTTCTTTGATGCTCTTGAAGATTGCTACTCTGACCGCATCTCTTTCCACACTCTGAGCATTCAAAAGATTTCTCCCCTCTGTGAATTCTTTGATGCTTTTGAAGGCTGCCACTCGTACTGAATCTCTTTCCACACTCTGAGCATTCAAAAGATTTCTCCCGTATGTGGGTTCTTTGATGGTTCTGAAGAGTGCCATTCTGACTGAATCTCTTTCCACACTCTGAGCATTCAAAAGGTTTCTCCCCTGTGTGGGTTCTTTGATGGTTCTGAAGCGTGCCACTCTGACTGAATCTCTTTCCACACTCTGAGCATTCAAAAGGTTTCTCCCCTGTGTGGGTTCTTTGATGGTTCTGAAGATGGCCACTCTGACTGAATCTCTTTCCACACTCTGAGCATTCATAGAGTTTCTGTGCTGCGTGTATCTTTTGGTGTACAAGAAGCTGTGATCTGTATCTGAAGCACTTTGCACAGTGGCTGCATTTACATGCCTTCATTATACTGTGGTTTGGAAAATATACATTACCTTTTCTTCCATTGGAGAACATCATTCCTCTCTTGGAGCAAATAAATGGCTTCACTCCTGAACAAGTCCATTGGGGAAGGTTGCAGACTGGTATTTTATAGCAGCCCCCTTCTTGGCGAGGAATGGAATGAACCCACCTCTTCACCGTACGGCTTCCTTCCTGCCTCTGTGGTCCATCTCTGTTCCTGAAGTTTCCTTTGGCCTTTTCATTCTGGGCTTCTTCCAGTGGGAAAGAACTCTTCTGAAATTTCCCAAATGACTCCTCGACATCTTCTCCTGGAACAAAGAGGGAGATCCAATTACCACTTACACAAGTCATGAAGCCACCGACCAGAAACTCCTGATTCACGAGTGTGCATTTCATCTTCTGAGCCGCTGGTCACAACTTTTCCCTGGCCAGCCCTCCAGTAGAGCTTTTTCTGTATTGTGACCATCCCTCCCCTGTACAAAACTCCCCAAATCTACTTTAAGAGAAAAAGCGGCAAAGATCTGTTGCTCTGCCTTTCCCATTTGCCTAGTCATGCAGGTCTTTTGATGATGAAATACAAAAAATGATTGTAACGTCAAGTCCTGAGATTCTACAGAATTTCCGTCCAGGTGTGATGAGGCAGAAGAGGAGCTGGTCTTCAGACTCCCATAACACAGGTCGGCTGGGGCAGGGGAGAAGTCAGGACCTAACCAAGAGAACCCCACAGTTCTAAGGGAACTCCCATAGGAATACCAGCTGTTGGGGGAGAGAGGGAGGGGAGGCCTGGAGATATTCAACTGACCACGGTAGGAAAAGGCTGATGGGCGTCTGACTCGTCCAGCTAAGCTTTTCTTAAGTGAATACCTCACCTTTCCCTGGAATGTCAGGTATTTAAGGACGGGACAGTCCCTGAAGGGACTAAAAGAGCCACAACTGAGCTCAGACCCAGGAAGAATTCCCAGGATCGCAGGCCCCAAAGGGCTTCCCTCCTTACCCAGAGGGCTTTATCATTCTACCCAACCAAGAGCTGCTACAGAGTGAAGCAGAAATCCACCATGGCTATTCTTTGCCCTTGACATAAAGACGAAGTAGACTCACTCGCGGCCAGTTCACTCGGGAAGGAACTATTCTGTTGAGATCCTCTTGAGAAACTCTCCAACCCTTCATCCATCTCCACTGCAGTCTCTCGCACATCCGTGCCTTCTTTGGGAGAGAGAGAGAGAAGAGTGGAGGAAGAGTGACCCAAGGCCTTTGCCCGTCTCCACCTCAGGCCCTGACA